TGGGTTTGGGACTTTGGTCTATTTGGGCCTTAAAGGAGTTTTACAGAAGGAATGGATTGGTCCTGGTAGGGTTGGGTTTGTGACTTTGGTCTATTTGGGCCTTAAAAGAGTTTTACAGAGTGGATGGATTGGTCCTGGTAGGGTTGGGTTGGTGACTTTGGTCTATTTGGGCCTTAAAGGAGTTTTACAGAGTGGATGGATTGGTCCTGGTAGGGTTGGGTTTGTGACTTTGGTCTATTTGGGTCTTAAATGAGTTTTACAGAAGGAATGGATTGGTCCTGGTAGGGTTGGGTTTGTGACTTTGGTCTATTTGGGCCTTAAAGGAGTTTTACAGAAGGAATGGATTGGTCCTGGTAGGGTTGGGTTTGTGACTTTGGTCTTATAGGGCCTTAAAGGAGTTTTACAGAGTGGATAGATTCGTCCTGGTAGGGTTGGGTTTGTGACTTTGATTTTCTTCCATTTCCAGGTGATAAATGCCTACCTACCACTCTCCTAAGCAAGTTCCTAAGACCAAGCATCTCCTGGGAAATGACTCATATCTGGACCGGTCAAACAAACTCAGTTTGCGTTGACCTGTTTTTTTTAACATTCCAGTTTTTTGTTATTTAGAACTAGGCCATCGTTGTCCTTTTAAGTAAAAAAAAAGGTCCATCCATCAATCCAGAGTCATGACTGAGTCATCATTAGACATCCAATCCATTCAAAGATGTGTCATTTCTTGCCTCCCCCTCCCTTCCACGGAACATCATATGTGTATAACCCAGTCGTTAGCTCCACATCACTGGGAGGCATGAGGGGCCCTGCCACTCTTCTGGACAAAAGGCTCGGAGTGGTCATCAGTGCTGACTGAACTGCTGAGTCATGGTCCTCTGGCCATCTGGGAACACGCTCCCCCCGAAATGAGTGTTTGGGACTCCATGACAGATCGCTTCCTTTTCTTTTATAACCCTTATTCCAAAGAGCATTGGCCCAGTTTGTGAAACATAAGGAACAACTAAACGTAATGGTTTGCAGATCTCGTAAAACCTCAATGAAATATTCTAAAATGAGGAATTTTATCATCATTACATGAAATATTGACTCAGCTTAGAACAAAATGGAGACAAACTAAAGATATATCCATGTTTAACTCAACTCAACTCAACTTAACTTTATTTATAAAGCGCTTTCAGTCAGCCAAAGCTAAAATCAAAGCGCTGTACAGGCCATTTGAGCGAATCATAAAACACAATCATCACCTCCACACAAGACAAAGATTAAAAAATAAATAAGAGAAGGATAAAAGTAGAGTAATAGAGGGAAATTAAGACAACCAAAATAAAGTCGAAGTCTCACTCAAAAGCCTGAGAGTAAAAGTGGGTCTTTAAAAGGGTTTTAAAAGAGCTGAGTTAAAGGCAGAATTTAACGATACGACTGGATTTCTATGAGTTGTGCTTGCCCATCTCCAGCTTCGTACATTAGCATTGGTCGTTAGCATATGCCGCTAGCCTACAGATGGCAATAGAGGAACTCTCTAAGTCTGCATACAGAGATGGAGTTTAAGAATATTCATAAGCTCAGCGTTGGGGGTGAGGAGCCGCTGACCTCGCCCGAAAGCTGTTAGCAAAATAAGGTCAAAGGGGTCCAGACAGAGAACCAGGGCTTGACCCAACCCTGCCTCACGCATCTCAACCCGCCTCAGAAAGAAGCTCCCACAGCTTTAGTTCTTTTTATCTTCATATCTGATCAGCGTCACTGACACTGGTCTCTAGACTCTGCTTTCCTCCCCGAAGGCCTTCTATAAGTTCCAGTATCCATTATAGATCGGCTCTGGTGGTCGGCTGTGTACCAGAAATTAAGCCTCAAAGTCCTGGTTACAGAAGGCTGCTGCACAATGGACGCACTGATGGAAACTTTTCCCTTAATTTACCTCATCCTGTGGCCAAAGCACTCATTCTTAAACTCAGCAGAGTTAGACGTATAGTCATTGAACAAAGCCACATAGTCAATTTGACAACGAAATGTCGTTATTTGGCTACCAGGTATAGCAGGGACTCTGGTAATAAATAGCCTGAGGATGGAACCTAACTATAAATGTCAAGGAGCTGAAAAAGTTATTTTAGAGTTTGGGATCTGATTATGAACAATACCGGTAATAACAAAGACAGTGGAGGAAGATGTAGAAATGAAACGGTACGTAATATTTAACCATATAATATATTATCGCACTATCTAAAAAATTAGCTTTCTTAATAATGGTCACTCTATTTGCGCATCTACTCTTTTGATGCTGACTCTGGGCACACTTGGCTAGTTTATCCGGAGGATCTCGCCCCCTTTGAGTACGTTTCCATTAGAAGGCGATATTCTACCTCATCAAAAATTAATATTCTCATGACTGTGCGGGTTAACTCAAATCTTTCCAGGGTCAGAGGGCCGCCACAGCGGGGTTTACTTGCCGGGATAGCATGCAACCACAGCCATGTGTACTCTTAAAAACTAAGAACTCGACCCGTTTCAGAGCACACCCATTGGGATTGGCCTCAGAAATGCGTTTAAAACCTGCACCCACGTCCCATTTGGATGCATTTCCTCAGGTTTGGTCCATGCGAGGCATCCTCCGTTAGCATGAAATGCTGCTTTTAGCGCGTTGCCGTGGCGCCCGCATGCATATTTCAGCAGACCGCCGGCGACCGGCTCCCCTAATGCATTCCTGAGAGGCCCCGGGCGCTTCTTATTGAACTCAAACTACCTCTTTCCCGCATCATTTGCTTTGCCTCAGCCGGCTGTATTCTCTCGACTGTAGGCATGTATATTTGATTCTGTTTTATCGCCGCGCTAACGGCGAACGCGTTTCCACAAAACGCCCCGGTCTCTGCAGGGACGTTTTGTCTAACAGCGGTTAGCGTCTCGCTTCCTGCCCCGGATCCTTATCGTCCTCACTCCTGACCCGCGGATCCTCGATCATGTGCCCAGGCGTTTCCACGCCAACGGGGTTTGCGCTGTGTCATGGAAGTGGAACGAAAAGATGTGATCTTACTCCAAACGAGGTCCTTTTACAGATAAACCGGAGAGTTTTTGGACTAAGCGTGCTTTGATGAAGACGATCAAACTACAAAACTTTATGCTTTCTTCTTAAATAAAATAATTATCCCTGTTAGAGCAGTTTTAAGACAGAAAACTTTAAAGAGGAAACTTTCTGCTTTCCCCTTTTTGAAATCATCTGCCACCAATGGGAGATGTTTGTTAGGGTTAGGGTTAGGGTTAGAAAGCCTAAAAAGGAGGTAACAAGGAGAGCCAGAGGAAGCTGAGGCTATGGACCTTTCTAAAGCTCTTCTTCCACAGAAGAATCTGCTGTAAATGTCAGTAAAATTACAGCAGATATTACAGAAATCAGTTAAAAAACACATGTTAAAAAGGTTAATTTGAAGTGTATTTAGGAAAACAATTTAAACAAAGTGTATTTATTAGGAGTTATCTAGGAAAGATGTCATCTAATCTTTTGGTTCTCTGAATGCTTTTGTTTGGCCCTATCTAGATTTGTCTTCTTTTCTTTGTAATTTGAGTCGAAATGCCTGCACTTTGGCCCACGTATGAACCATTTTAAAAGCTTTTTTAAAGCTGGGAAAATGTCGGTGTTGTGTCGGAAACTCGCGGCACTAAATCAAATGCTGTTGGGAACATTTTTACAGGAGGTTTGTCACCGCGAGGTTGTGATTCATCCGATTAGGAACGCTTAATTCTGCATTTGCCGGCTGATTCGATTTAGATCTGGCCCGATTCCCAGTTTCCCAGCATCTGACCTTCTCTCCACAAAAGAGAACCCTTTGTGTCTTTGTTCCACATTCCTTTAAAAACCATCCTCTTGGCTCCAAGCCACCAGGAAGTTGATCTCCAAGCTAAAGATCCAAACCACTCATTTGGTTTGATGCTATTCGGTTTTACCTGTTTGACCAACTAGTGACTAGAAATTAGAAATGCATAAACATGGGGATAGTTAGAGGACCCTAACCCTAACCCCCCATAGAGTGGAGTCATGGAGATATTCCCAGTTCCTAACCTTTCCTAATCCAGCTTTCTACATCAGGAACAACCTCCCAAGAGTGGAATCTCTTTCCTTTAAAGGGATTCTTAGGGTGTTCTTTAACCCTATAAAGCCAAATGTGTCATATCTGATCTGGTTTCTTTTGGATGTGAGACTTTTTGCATTATTCAGTGGTAAAAGCTTTGCTCAAACCCCTGTTGTACACATTCAGATATACCTGATAACAGCCAGTAGAAGACTACACCAACATAGATTTCTGACTTATTGCACGCTAATTTGATCAAATTAATTCCTGTTTTTTTTTCTTCATATGTTGTTGAGGGGCCAAAGAAAGACTTCAGACTAAAAAAA